AAAAAAAAAAATGGATCAAAGACCTAAATACAAAACCAAAAACTATAAAACATTATAGAAGAAAAAATAGGGTCAGTGCTAGAGACCCTAATACACAGCATAAATAGGATACAAACCATAACTAACAATACACAAACACCAGAAGAGAAGCTAGATAACTGGGATCTCCTAAAAATTAAATACTTATGCTCATCAAAAGACTTCACCAAAAGAGTAAAAGGAGAACCTACAGACTGGGGAAAAAATTTTAACTATGACAAATACAACAAAGATCTAACTTCTAAAATCTATAGGAAAATCCAACACCTCTACAACAAAAAGACAAACAATTCAATTGAAAAATGAGTAAAGGATATGAGCAGACACTTTACCAAAGAAGACATTCTGGCAGCTAACAGACACATGACAAAATGCTCACAATCACCAGCCATTAGAGAAATGCAAATCAAAACTACAATGAGATACCGTCTCACCCTGGCATTACCTACATGAATTAAAAGAAAAAAAAAAAGAAAATAACAAATGTTGGAGAGGCTGTGGGGTGATTGGAACACTTATGCACTGCTGGTGGGAATGCAAAATAGTATAATTTTGGAAAGCAAAATGGTGCTTCCTTAAAAAGCTAGAAATATAAATACCATACAATCCAGCCATCCCACTCCTAGGAATATATCCTAGAGAAATAAGAGCCATCACACAAATAGACATATGCACACCCATGTTCATTGCAGCATTGTTCACAATAGCAAAAAGATGGAAACAACCTAAGTGTCCATCAACAGATAAATGGATAAACAAGCTATGGTACATACACACAATGGAATAGCACACAACAATATAGAACAATGATGAATCTTCGAAACATCTCACAACATGGATGAATCAGAGGGCATTATGCTGAGTGAAGTAAGTCAATCGCAAAGGGACAAGCACCCCTCCGCTCCCTAGAAGTCTGAATTCAGGGCGCCTGCTCTCGGGAAAGGCTTTCTCTCTCCAAGGAACCAGGAAACCAACTGAAGAGACAAGAACCTTCCCCACAAGCTGAGAGAGAGAGAGGAAAGCCTTCCCCTAGAGCTGGCGCCCTGAATTCAGACTTCTAGCCTCCTGAACTGTGAGAAAATAAATTGTTATTCGTTAAAGCCACCCATTTGTGGTATTTTCGTTATAGCAGCACTAGATAATTAAGACAGTTAGTAGACGATTGCAAACTGCTTGTGCCACCCAGGGACCTCTGGGTACTGAGGTCACTATATCCTTCCGTGGCTCCACATCACCATGACAATAAAATCCTGACCCCACAGTGTGGAGAAGGGGCCATTTGCAATCTGAGTCTGATGTGTACCTGGTCAGCCTCACTGCACCAGACTGTGAGGACCTTTAAGGCAGGTTCCTGTCTTTCATCTCTCTGTCTCCAGTGCCTGGCACTTAGTAGGCCTTCAATAAATGTGTCTTGAATAAATAAGTAAATGAATAAATAGAATTTTTGTTTACCTATCTAGTTCCTTTGTAGACTCTGAACTCTTAGAGTAGGGCAGGGTCTTCAGCTTTATGGACCTGACACTTAAGTGTTTGTAGAATGAGTAGCAATGAAGCCCTGCTGCTTCTGCCTTTTGCACGCCCTGGGACCCTCATCCTGAAAACGCAGCCAACTTTCCGTCATCTACTTAAATGGAAGGGAACAGAAAATGGGCACTATTGAAACATGAATATTCTAGAAATCATTACATCAGGCACATAGCCTGTCATGTGAGCTCTTTACCTCCCCCATCTCCTCTGGACCAAATCTGACCTCTCCCAGGATCCACTGTCTGGCCCCAGATCCCAAGAGAGAAAGCCATGGATATGCCCGCATTGCAAGGGAGCACCGGGTGCCTCTGCAGTGCTGGTCAGGAATCTCTGTAGCCTGGAAGACTGGGATCTGGGTTTGCATGGTTCTGCATGCTCACAACCAGGGCTGTGTTTGGACTCACCTTGCAGCAGACACAGGGTGAGGAGGAGGGGCATTTTCCATCCTGCGCTCTGGTTGGTGACCTGCAAAAGACACTAAGTGAGAGGAGGCTCAAGAGGAGCAAGCAGCAGGGACCTGGGTCTCAGTTTGCCCATCTGTACAGAGTAGGGGCTGGATTGCTCACATCTAAGAGCAAGACAAAGAGTCCCTGGGTGGCACGAACAGTTAAGCGCTTGACTATTAGCCGAAAGGCTGGCTGTTCCAACTCACCCAGAGGCACCTCGGAAGATAGGCCTGGTGATCTGCTTCTGAAAGATCATGGCCTTGAAAACCCTCTGAAGCAGTTCTTCTCTGCACACATGGGGTCACCATGAGTCAGAATCAACTCGACAGCAGCTAATAACAACAACAGCAAAAGCAAGACAAGAAGTACCCTCTCTGAGAGAAGTTGGACTCCATCCTCACACTTCTGATTATTCATATGTGGCCTCGGTCACAGTCACCAAGGCTAAAATTCCCCTACCCTTGAAGTTCCTGTGTTCAGAAGCGGTGAAACTCCCTCTGTGGGATTCCAGCCGAGTTCCCGCTTGCCAGTATGGAGCCCTGAACTCAGGGGAGAGCATCGTGGGGTGGAAAGACCACATGCTTACAAGTTCAGATCTTAGTTGAAATTGCAGGACCTTGGAAAAGTTACTCAGCCTTGGGGGTTTGTTTCCTCATCTGTAGGACAGGGGATGAGAAAAAGTGTACAGGTGTTGTTGTACAATTTATATGAGAAAGCTGTTAAAAGTGTCTGACAGCCTGCCTGGCATAGAGTGGTCCTGTGCCCTTCTCTCCTCACCCCTTCCTCTTTGCAGAAGAGGAATTGATTCCGTCAGTGGAAGCTTTCTGTTTCACTGTTGCTGAGCCTTCGGGCAGCAATAAGGAGTTAAAAATTCACACTCTGGCCAAGTAATTGTCTGCACAGGGTCTGTTCCAGGTCCTATTCTGCTTCTTCTCCACAACTTCCAGAAAGCCCTCCCTGCCCCAAGTCTACACTGATCTTTCCCTTGCGCTGGTGTCTCCCAGTGGCCTGGGGAGCAGCTTGAGGGCAGGACTTTTTCTCATTCATCTCTCCCCCCAGCCTCTGACACGGGGTCCAGCCATGGCAGGTGACGATGCACAGCTACAGTGAACAAGAACCTACCACTCTCTAGTGTATACCATACTGACCACTATTAAATGGTTCTTTTATTGCTTGCCAATTAAAAAGACAGAGATTGTACATTATCCTTCTTTTGTACTCCCCAAAGAGTACTCATGGATACCGTTTTATTAAAAATCTGCTCTTCAAATCTATCTACTGCTTGCAGTTCCTGGAACCTATAGATTAAGAGAGAGACAGAGAGAAAGAAACAAACTAAATTTAGCCATTTAGCCATTGTATTTCCTTCCTACTCTAATACTTCTTGCCTTTGAGTTGATTCTGACTCATAGTAACCCTATAGGACAAGATAGTACAGCCCCATATGGTTTCCAAGGCTGTAAATCTTTATGGAAGTAGACTGCCACATCTTTCTCCTGTGGAGCAGCTGGTGGGTTGGAACTGCTGACCTTTTGGTTAACAGCTCCCTCTACTCTAATACATACTTCACTAACATTAAGAATGGAGTCCCTGGGTGATGCAAAGGGTTAATGTCTTCAGCTGCTAACCAACAGGTTTAAGGTTCAAGTCCACCCAGAAGTGCCTCAGAAGAAAGGCCTGGCAATCTATGTCTGAAAAAATCAGTCACTGAAAACCCTGTGGAGCACAGTTCTACTCTGACACACATGGGGTCACCATGAGTTGGAGTCAACTCAACGACAACTTTTTTTTTTTAATGTTAAGAACAGATGCTGATAGTCAATGGTTTGACCCAAGGTGAGGACTCCAAAACAGAGGAGAAAACCAAAAAGGAGAGAAAAGGCAATAGGGGTAAAACTGGCAGAGGAAGTAGGGGAAGGAGGAGAGGAAATGAAGAGTGGGAGGTAAAAAAGGAGAAGGGAAAAGAGAGGAGAGAAAGGGAGACATGTGAAGAGTCCATGGGTTGACCCAACAGTTCAAGGTGTCCACCTCTGCTTGCCTCTGCCCATTCACTTCCATAAGGCCTTTGACTGCTCTTTGCAGTTAGAGCCCCAAGTGGTCAGATTTCAAGAAGTCCACAGGCTCCTTACACCTCCTTCTGTGCCTTCCCTTAGCAACCCCCACTGCATGGGCACTGCCAGCCTCCTCAGACCCCTCCCTGCCTCCTACAGTACCTGGCTGGCTGCCTTCACCTGGAGACTGTCCCAGGGAGTGCCTGCACCTAATCTCTGCTGTTTGATTTGTATTCGCCAAGCCCAGGCTAAGGCTGTGGCTGGCATCTGGCTTCCCTCTAGGCTAATTCTTCTGCAACGGCAAGTGCTGGCACAGCACACGTTGGGGCCAAAGTATGGGCACCACACCTCCCTGTTCCTCTGACATCCAATGGTGCGGCAACCTCAGCTTCACGAGCAGGTGCCACCTCAGCAGGGCAATGAGGAAGCTCCGAGTGTGAGAGAAAAAGTCTTTAGAGGGTTTACAGGCTTGATTGGAGGCTGGAAGAATAACATTCACCAGAATTTCTCCCAGTCCCCTCCTTGCTGGTGACCTTCAGATAACATTTCTCCAGAAGACTCAGTGTCCCAACTCAGCAGTTTGGGCCCACAGGCCTCTGTGACAGCACACAACATTTCAGGGGGTGAGGGGCATACTGGGGACTCTCTTGGCCCTCTGGTCTTGCTGGGAAGGGCATCTGCCTCATGTTCAGCACAGGCTGGTGTAGGACTCTCCGGATCCCTACTGTCCCTTGGAGGTCCACTGAGGAGCAGATAAGAAGGGAAGGGACAGTATGACATAGAGACAAAAGCACAGAGCCAGGACTCAGGAGGGTCTGCTTTGCCTGTGGCTAACGAAATGAGTGACCTTGAGCAGTGTGCTCCTTTCCTCTCCACTATAAAAAAAGATCTTGACTGTATGATCTCCAAGCTCCCGCCTCTTTACAGCATTTGTTGGTTCTAAGTTATCCAGAGCCCTCTAAGGAAACGTGCACTTCGGTGGGAGGGAAGGTGGGGTGAATAGAAGAATAGGGAGGTAGAGGGAGGAACTATGACCGGAACTCCAGAATCCTTACCTGGCCTCCTGGAATGAGCCCAGCCTGCTCTGGGAAGAGAGTCTTTGTGCATGCTTAACAGCTGCTGTTGCAACTTACCACCCATATTCAGAGACAAGACCCCAACCTTGGGGAGAAAACCTCATCTCACCTTCTGTTCTCTAGGCTTGGCTGGGGCTTCTCCATCCATCTCAACCCAGAAATCAGTCCCCTTGGACTTTTCTTTTGATCTCCTTGAGTTGCTGGTTTTTGAAAGTCTTCTTTAAATCTTGAGGTGGAGAAGGTAGTGTGGTGTGTTGGATAGAAGCTGTACTTATCACTAAAACATCTGGGTACAAGGCATAGGTCTGCCACTAACCTCTCTGCAACTTTCAATAAGTCACTTCTCTCGAGGTTTGGTTTCTATGACTTATAAGAGGGAGCCAGTCCAGACCCCTTGTTTTTCTTACTGTCACTTATTGTAGCAGAAATTTCCCAGTGGTGGTGACAGTGGCTTTAAGGACACACACTGATCCATGTACCCCCACCCCCCACTTCCCCTCCACTCCAGGGTCCCAGACTTTTTGGGATGCCCCGGTTTTGCCGGTCCATTCAGCATCTCCCAGACAAGTGATGCAATGACCTGGGCAGGCGAAAAGGGAAACTTCAAAACTGGAGAGAGGAATTCCCCTGCTGTCTGCCCGACAGCTGGTGCACTCCAGCTGACCTGGCCCCTCCAGCTCATACAGAGAGGCAGTTTGGGCCCTGTGGGTCACTGGTTCCACTTTAACTACATGGGCTGGTGGTTATTAATTCCTGCCTTGGACAAAGCACAATGCCATAAAACAGTGATCTTCATGAAGAGAGAATACTAACAAGTATAGCATACCCAGATGGATGACACAGTTAAAAAACACCTCAATATTTCCTTTTGGAAAATATTTTATGGGTGAGGTTTTCCTTGTAAAAGGTGTGGTCTACCAATGGACAAATTTCTAGAAACACACTACCTATCTAAACCAATGCAAATTGTTGTTGCTGTTGTTAGGTGCCGTCGAGTCAGTTCCAACTCATAGCGACCCTATGTACAACAGAACAAAACACTGCCCAGTCCTGTGCCATCCTCAAGATCGTTGTTATACTTGAGACCATTGTTACAGCCACTGTGTCAATCCATCTCTTTGAGGGTCTTCCTCTTTTTTGCTGACCCTCTGCTTTACCAAGCATGTGTCCTCCAGGGACTGATCCCTCCTGATAACATGTCCAAAGTATGTGAGACGAAGTCTCACCATCCTAGCTTCTAAAGAGCATTCTGGCTATACTTCCTCCAAGACAGATTTGTTCTTTCTTGGGGCAGTCCATGGTATATTCAACATTCTTCGCCAACATCATAACTCAAAGGCGTCAACTCTTCTTTGGTCTTCCTTATTCACTGCCCAGTTTTTGCATGCATATAAGGCAATTGACAACACCATAGCTTGGGTCAGGTGCACCTTAGTCCTTAATGTTACATCTTTGCTTTTTAACACTTTAAAGAGGTCTTTTGCAGCAGATTTGCCCAATGCAATGCGTTGTTTGATTTCTTGACTGCTGCTTCCATGGATGTTGATTGTGGATCCAAGTAAAATGAAATCCTTGACAACTTCAGTCTTTTCTCTGTTTATCATGATGTTGTTTACTGGTCCAGTTATGAGGATTTTTGTTTTCTTTATGTTGAGGTGTAAACCATACTGAAGGCTGTAGTCTTTGATCTTCATCGGTAAGTGCTTTAAGTCCTCTTCACTTTCAGCAAGCAAGGTTGTGTCAACTGCACATCACAGGTTGTTAGTAAGTCTTCCTCCAGTCCTGATGCCCTGCTCTTCTTCATATAGTCCAGCTTCTCAGATTATTTGCTTGGCATACAGATTGAATAAATATGGTGAAACGATACATACACCTTTCCTGACTCTAATCCACACAGTAACCACAAATAAAGGTAGAAAATTTGAACAAACCCTTAACAAAAGAAGAAATTGAAGATGTCTGTTAGTTATCTAGTGCTGCTATAACAGAAACACCACAAGTGGATGGCTTTAACAAACAGAAATTTATTCTTTCATAGTTTAGGAGGCTAAAAGTCTGAACTCAGGGCGTCAGCTCCAGAGGAAGGCTTTCTCTCTCTGTTGGCTCTGGGGGAAGGTCCTTGTCAGCAATCTTCCCCTGGTCTAGAAGCTTCTCAGTGTAGGGACTTGGAGTCCAAAGGATGTGCTCCACTCTGGGCACTTCTTTCTTTGTGGCATGAGGTCTCTATCTCTCTGCTCGCTTCTCTCTCCTTTTACCTCTTGTAAGATAAAAGATGACGCAGGCCATGCCCCAGGGAAATTTCCCTTACATGGGATCATCGGGCTTACATCCAGCTGTGACCTGAGTAAGGGTATTGCATCCCATCCTAATCTTCTTTAACATAACCTAATCTTGCCTCATTAAGCATAGGCAGCAATTAGGATTTACAACACATAGGATAATTCCATCAGATCACAAAATGGAGGACAACCACACAATACTGAGAATCATGGCCTAATTAAATTGACACTTTTTTTGGGGACACAGTTTAATCCATAACCGTGTCATAAAACAAACAAACAAACAAAAGCCCCCGCCCAGATGGCTTCACTAGAGAATTCTACCAAACATTCAGAGAAGTGTTGACACCAATTCTACTCACATTATTCCAGAACATAGAAAAGGAATGAACACTCCTTAATTCATTCTATGAAGCTAGCATAACCCTGATACCAAAGCCAGGCAAAGACACCACTAAAATGGAAAATTACAGGCCAATATCCCTCAAGAGTATAGATGTATAAATTCTTGACAAAATTCTAGAATAATAAATAAAAAAACCCACACAACTTCATGATCAAGTGGGATTCATACCAGGTTCAACATTAGAAAATCAATCAATGTAATTCACCACATAAATAAAACAAAGGAAAAGAATCAC